CGCATGTTCTCGCCGTTTTCGCGCCTTTTAATGTGGATTTTCGGATTCACTGTTGCGGATAACCCCCGGTAAGCGGATTTTCTAAAGATTGAGTTTTTGCTCGAGCAGCCTTTAAGTGGAATAGCGCAGGTGTACGGTAGATGTACGGTAAAGGCCAAGCATACTCCCCCGGTTTGCCTAGGGAGTAATTCATTTTTCTCGAATTATGATGGGTACACGGTAGACAGGTGAAGATTCTCAGAAACTGGTGCCAGCGAACTTCGACAATGGCCTTCCAGCCGGCGGCCGTTCCATCATTTTGGGCAAAGCCGAACGCCGGCCGGCGGCCGTTCCAATGTGCAAAAGCTCGGAAAGCGCACAAGATTGCGCGTACAGTAAGAAAATAATTTCAAACGTTGGGCGCTTGTGTCTTTCAAGCAGAAAACTATTTTTATTAATTTTCCTTCATTATTGTTGGGGTTTTCCACTTTGATTGCGTCACTTTCTATGTACGAATTTGATAGTTGATGTAACCCATTATTGTGATTCTGCTCATTCCATTCTGTTTTCAGATTTCAAACTCCATGGTGTTCGTTTTCTCTTCTTTCTATATCCCTGCTTATTTTGACTTGAATGGCGAAAACACCGAACATCAGTCGTTCATGCCTATTTGCTGTTACGTGAATTCTATGTGTCGCATCACCTTTTGGGCACGAACTATGAAGTACAAACTAGACGTCCACAAGTTTTCAGGAGAAAGCTGCGATATGCATGGTGGTTCTGTCCTTGCTTTTTCGATGGAACTACAGCGAATGGTTGAGTGCTATCAGTTTAACACTATAATTCGTGAAAACGAACATGGCTTCTGAAGAATGGTCCTTTATATATTCTCAGTGCATCAATTTGTGGACTATTCCTGCTTTGCTTAGTATTCTAATCTATATAGAAATCATTGATGTGTCGGTTCCTCCTATGCGGAGAACATAATTGGAGGTGTCGGTCTATCTAATATTCTACCCCATTTCTCTAATTTGTGCTTACGGCTGGACTCACCTCAAAAGGCGTAAGTTCTCCTACTCAGGGATTCGCACCGTGCGAGCGGTCCTCCTATAAAGGCTAGCGTACAAGCGGTCGGCATAAGCCTAAAGCTTCCGTGCGTGCGGCAAACAGTTGAAGCGCCGTCCAAGCGGCAGGCAATGCTACCGTGCAAACGGCCGGCGATACGTTTGCTCGAGCGAGCGGCCAGCAATGTGTCCCTCTTATCGGCCGGCAATACCAGTTGCCGCGCAAGCGGCCGACAGTGACCTCTATCTTCTTCTCGCAATTCCCACATGTTGGAAGCGTAAACGGTACCTGCGTGAGATACGACGCAGCGTTTAGGATGCTAAGCATTGACATGTCGTATTATCAACATTTTCCTTCAACTGCAAAACTGAAATGAACTTGTGTGACATTACAGCTATCATGAGTTATGGTATGGGCTTCCTACGAAAGGTTTGGCCACTGCAGGCATCGATCGACGTTTGCAGAACGTGAACAGGATGAAGCTATCCAAGAAAAATGGTCAAAGGATCCCATACAAAATTATTCCAGCAGCAAGCGAGCGGCCGACCTTCTCCGCGCAAGCGGCAAGTATTAGAAGCCGTGTGGGCGCCCCTTAACCGTACCACCGGCCCTTGACGACCGTACAATCGCACACACCGACGATCGTTTGTAAGGTCGTCGCTGGCCGCCCGCACGGCGCGAGTTCCTGATTGTAAGTAACTACCGCTTGAACCTACATTTGCGATGTTTTCTAGGGACCGATACGATCATCTGTATTAACTATCTGCTGGAACGCATATGTTTCTGATACTGCTTCGCTAACAGACGTTGTTGCAACTCTATACATAGCTGTAAGTTTTGGTATCAGTTGAAAATTGTCAATACTTTGTTTCATTTACAAGTTATTGAAGCAACTCATCAACAATCGGAAGTGGCATTCAAAAGTACAAAAATCTTCAAAAAATCAAAATTCTTCTAGCCTATTCGGAACGGCTGTCCAACGATGTGTGAAACAGTTGCGTCAAATGATCTCGCATGAAAAGTTACTAGTTTTTAGCTTCAAATGTATTTTTCATGTATCGATGTACAAGAGTTTAATGCAATTCCGTATTGTATCTTTTGGCTGTAATAAATATACTGTTGAAGATTCGCCATCCTATATTGAGATTATAGTGGAACGAGAGCTAGAATTCAAAAGAGGAAGTAGTGTGGCCCAGCGCCATTTCGTTGCGCCACCGAAGCATGCCGGCCGGCGGCCGTACTGGTACCGCTGGCGGCCGTTCGACTCAGGGCCCGGCACGAGCCGGTTTCTAGGGTTTCTGAAAACGAAGTCTCCCCTGACTTTCGGAAGTTTTACGAAGCCCCTTTGACCTACTAGGAGAAGATGAAAACAAGAAAGATTTACTAGTCTGAAAGAAAAGACGTAAAATAAGAGTGAAAATCCAAATCAGAGCTGAATACTATGCATGCACAAGACTTTGGCACTAGAGCGCGATGTTTAACAAAGCGAGAAGAAATGAAGGCAACAAACAAAGGAAGATAATGATATGATAAAGTCTTCATGCTAGGGGTTAGATTTTTGACCGGGAAATCCGTCCATGCTAACAAGGGAATGGTCAGAAGTCGAAGTGGCCAATCCATACAAGCTGCACACTATTCGATGCAGCATAAAATGCTGATCTCAAATCTGTATTTCGTATCTGCAAAGCGCCTTTGTAGGCGAAGTTATGAGCAGCTTTACTGCGAAAAAACCGTATAAAGAAAACGCGAAATTAGGCCCATTATTGCTCTTTCAACTCACCTCTAGGCACGGGTCATATAAATTGACCTGGTTGCATGTTTTGGTCCAATACGGAGCCGAGATTGGCTTTGTACGGCCAAGTTTGCACTTTACACGCACAATATCTTAACAAAGTAATGGCCTTCAACGGCCTATAATTTCGTCCACAAAAGCGCTCTGCAGATAAGGAAAGCAGAGTTAGAGTCAGCGTTTTATGCTGCATCTAATGGTATGCAGCTTGTATGGACTGGCCACTTCGACTTCTGACCATTCCCTGGTAAGAAGATCCGAAACTTATGTGAAGTGACGAAAATATATGCTCCAGACGATCTCAGATCGTCTGGTGGCCGTCTGGAGACGATCTAATTTTGAAAAAGGTATTACTTCACATAAGTTTTCATATCTTATATATAAAGCTGAATGTCTGTTTGTCTGTCTGTCTGTCTGTCTGTCTGTCTGTCTGTCTGTATGTCTGTCTGTACGTATGTTCCGAATAGAAAATTCCATTTCTGAACCGATCGGGACCAAACTTGGCACACATACACTTTGGGCCCCGGTGGGTGTCATAGGCTACTTTTCGTCATCGATCGATATCGATTTTATCGATTTTTTGCAGAATTTGAGCTACGGGGCTGGGAGTTGGCACAGGGGGGTAATCGAGCATGCTGATCACCCCAGTGGGGGTGATCAGCATGCTCGATTACACCCCCCCCCTGCCAAATTCCAGCGAAAATTGGACTGTGACACCCGCCGGGGCCCGAAGTGTATGTGTGTCAAGTTTGGTCCGGATCGGTTAAGAAATGGAATTTTCTATTTGAAACATACGGCGGAGCCGGGTAAGCCAGCTAGTTTTTACATAATACTTTCGCAAATAATTTTCTATGCATACACTTCAATTTTGGTGTCATATGCTTTTGTGTGCGCTGTAAACAAGCAATTTGTTTATTTAAGCCTTGCTTTCAAATGCGCACTTTTCGCCGTACACGATAGAGCATGTCAATCGTGTGATCACCTGTCCGAAAAGCTTGTGTTCGACTAGATGGCGCTTATTCTTTGTGCTCGGTTCCGACTCTCAAAAACTATATCCCCTTTGCTGTTTGCTTCAAAAACGTCCAGTCTGCTTCCAGGCGATCTGTGCCGGGCCCTGGTTCGAGTACCGGCTGGCGACCGTTCCGGCCGAAATGTCGGCGACGGACCAGCCGGCCGTCGAACGGCCGCCAGCCGATGCGAGTGTCTGAGTTCCAGCGTTGCTCAAATCGTAGCCTTAAGGGGTTTTTAAGCATGCCGATAACGAATATCATGCTTGCTCGCTGTAAAAACCTGTTATTGTGGAGTTATCGTAATTTGGAGCGTATAAGTAAGCACCCTTCCCGCTTTTTAAATCAAGGTAGCTTTCCAAAGATTTTCGAGGATTTATCATGCTAAGTGAGTACGATAATTCTGACAGGACATCAGATATTCCCCTCCGTTACGAAAAAGTCCCAAAACGCAAGAAAAAGGAAATTCGCAATCACGTCAAATAACCCTCACCAAAATTCAGGCAAATAAATTTTGACCCCTACCGTGCACCTACCGTAGTCATATAAGGAGACGTTTTCGTACGGAAATGTGTGATATTCTTAATCAGCATGTGGAAGAACCCCTCTGGCCCAAGTTCTAGCGAGATCTTCTTCCTAACGCTGCTTGACACGATTCAATCACTACAAAAGTGAGCTGCTTCCTCAATGAGACTATACGAATGAGAATTGTACCGAAGAGAGCATACCAAAGCAAGGAGTCAAAAGCACTACGTGTGCTTCAGTTTCGCCCGTCATTTCAATAAAGGACATCATATTTGCAAATGACTGGGTCTTAGCGCGACATTTACCGTGATCTGGGCGCTGAATCGGATTTGTTTGTTGTTACTCGGTTGTGTTACGAATGTGAAATTCTCAATTTGTTTTTCGCCTTTTTGCATCATCAGTGTAGATAATATGCAATATTTGATCAGTGTGGTAATCAGGTTTCACAATTAGCGCTAGGCTGTAGTCATTTCGATGTTTTTTTTTTTCACTTTCCGTTGCGCTTTCAGGATTGTTGTTGTGTTTCTCGCCATCTTATCGCTCTCTTCTTCAGGAATTCCCTATATATACCGGTTAAGCATCTAGATGTCTGAAGTGCCACATTATGTCCTATATGAGCATGCGGTTGGCTAAAGGAGTTCGAAGATGCTGCATTGATCGTACAGGAGGTAAGGTTTTTGTAATTCAACCCTTGCACTATAGGCCGGGAGGTCGTTCCATTTGAATGACCTCTGGTCTAAGAGGAAACCATAGCAAATTGCAGACACCCTCATGCATGTATTGTATGACGCGGTCCCACAATATGTACCCTTTTCTTTTTCGTAAAAGAGCTATCGTCTCATAAGGTATTCTCTTGTAATAACTGCTTTTTGAAGGAGTAGGTGAATGGAAATTTCCATCTAATGTTTTTTCTTCTTAGTGCAAGGGTTTTGCTCAAAAGAACAGCTGAGCTCTGATATGCGTATATATAGAATATTGGATAGTCGTTAGGTTTGTTGCCGGGTCAGCGAGAAACAAGTATCCTTCAAGCTCAGGCGCTAACCTTGCTACATTATATAGTAAATTCCACGAAAAATGCAATCAGGCTGCTTTTTAGGCACGCGTAGTTAATCCACTCCATCCTCGCATTTGGTTAGATCAGTGAACTGGCTAGCAGCGAAGTGGATTCGCGAAGTTCGCGACAATTTCCTGTCAAGATTAACTCTGGCTAGTGTGAGGATGCAGACCAGTTATCGTACGCAAAGACTGAACGGTTTGCGTCCGACTAAGTAGGATAGTTTGTACGTGTAAGGCTTAAAGGCAGCGTCCGAGCAGAATCTCGAACAAAATTTTTTTCGCTTACCTGGCCTTATTCTTCCCGTTTATTCCGAAAATGCAGCTTGCAGAGAACGAAGATGTCGAAAAGGGCTTCTCCAGTAGCAATTGATTTTGAATAATGACGGTTGCCGCCGAGGTTAAGACGCAGTCGCGTGCTCGACATACCTTCGATATCATCCCATATGTCTTTCCTCAACATGGCGTGGATTACGTGGCTTGATGAGGTGCCGCCTCGCGTCGGGCTCGCGCCACGTTGCGTGCGCATCTTAGGCGTGATGTGGCGCTCAAAACAACATGGCGCAAGCTTTTCCACGTTGTTCTTGTTGCCACGTCGCGCCAAATGATGCGCTCGCAACGTGGCGCGAGCCCGAGGCGAGGCGGCGTCTCATCAAGCCACGTAATCCACGTCATGTTGAGGGAAGACATGGGATGATATCGAGTGTACGTACTCTGGCTATCGATTGAACGGACACGTCGCCGGGGCGGTCCTGTCGCCACTTCTGAAGCGGTTTTCTCGCTTCAGAAGCAAAGTGGTGCAATGCCACTTGGGCAAGAGCTCCATCAGGCCGAGAACCCCTGTACGCTACAGTTTCGTTTTTGCCCGGACGCTGCCTTTAAGGCATACCTCACGCTATCCGGTCGTCATGATTTTTGGTCGCTGCGACTAGACTGCTTGGACTACTGTTCATTGCGTGAAAATCGCTCATCGCTTGATTACCGAACCTACCGATAGCGTTCGTAGACGCTCACACACTATACCATGTTATACGCACTTTTGGAAAACTTGAGCTAGTTTGTTGAAGTGCATTTATTCAGAGGAAGTCGAAAAGAATGTAGCGCCATATGCTTTCAGAGAACACTATAGTTTGCCTCAATCTTAGCCAGGATAAAACTGGCATGGCGGGAGCCTGTGTCGCGAGGTATTGCGTCGTCTACGGCTAACTAGCCTGCTCTCTCCTCAGTCTCTTCGCTCTTTACGACAGCGCGCCTATGCAGCGCAAACCCCTAGCGCTGCGAGAGCACAAACTCAGCTGACAGTTCGGCCCGATCCTGATTGGGCAGATTGTACATTTGACGAGGAGATATGAATTCTTCCATTCCTTTCTAATTCCCACCAGCGCTTGTCTACCTGCTTCAGTTGGCATCTACAAGCGACCATTACTTTATGAACTTTTGGGCCCACTTTTCAGTCATTGGCAGCTATATACGTTAGCGCTTCGTAACAGCGGGGCATAGTTGGCATTGGCCCTGTAAAAATTCTAGATAGACATTTTCCAACAAAAAGTGCCTCGCGAGTATTGTCCGCCAACTGCGAACGATTATAATATCTTCATTCTCTGTTAAAGAGGCACGAGCACGCTTTGCGTAAGTCAACATAATAAGTTTATGAGTGCGTTTTAACGCATTTTAACGCCGTTACCATTGAAATTCCTTGAAACAGTATATTCGAACTTGCGTTGGTCAATGATCTCGAACATGTTCTTCTAGAATCCTAATAATAAATCAGCAACGCTTCAACACTCACTCACGAATTCGACACTCAAGCGTACGCAAAGCGTGCTCGTGTGGCATAGAAGGGAATGGTCAAAATTCGAAGGGCCAACCCCAGCAGTCGTAGATCGTTGAACAAAAACAACAACAACCGTTGTAACCAGCCCTCTACTTCATGTAGGGCTGGTTACATATCCACTTCGGCAGCTGCTTATTGGTTCCCTGCGAAGTTATGGCCCCCGATTCCGCCGTGGGGCCGCCGCGATCCCTAAATACTCTTCACGCTGGCACACAAAGTGGACGCATAGCGCAGTGGCAAGTGTGCAGACTCATAGGACCAGAACCGATTTCTGTTTGCAAGTTCGGCTCCTTGCTCGCTACTCTTTTGCAACCTATACCTAATATCTATGGCCCGTATGCACGTACATCCCCCTCAGGCAATCGCCGGGCAGGCGGGCGCCGGAAAATACACGTTGCTGAAATTTCGCATTCCGCTCGCAAGTTCCAAGATGATGTTCAGCGAGTTTTTGAGAGACCGCCCGCTGAATTTTTTTTTGCTCTTGTCTTTTGCAGATAAATTGTTGAATCTCTGAAGAATCTCAGCAAGCGGCGTTCCGAAAAGTCCTGTTTGCTTTCCAAAAAATCCGCGAGCGAGGTGCGAAAAATTAGCCATCTATTTTTCCGGTGCCCGCCTGCCCCCGGCGATTGTCTGAGCCGCTGGGGAGGGGGAGGGATCTGAGAGGGGATGCGTCATATCTCGCTACTCTGCGTATCTTTCTTCTTGTTCCTCTTTGCTTACGCAGTTCTTCATACATTTCTACCTGCGCAAATGGATGCCAGATTACTTCCATACAAGACGGTTTTTTGCCATTTGTGATCCCTATGGCATCCCCTGGGGATCGCCTCTCATTTAAATGATTTATTTTCCTGAGAAGTTAATGAAAACGCTGTAAAATTGTACTGAGGATATACTTCGGCACTGCTAAGCATGTTTTCGATAGGAGAGATGGAATCTGAAGATCGTGAATTTTTTGACGAGATCTGCTCGCGTTATCTTGAGATTTCACTTATTTTTACTATAAACATCTTTACACTGCCGTAGTATATCCGCAGTACAATTTTACAGCGTTTCATTGACTTCTCACGAAGATAAGTCACTTTGAAAATGAGAGGTGATCCCTTGGGGATCACATAAAATAATGAAAATCTACTCAATTATGCCAGTAACCTGAAATCAATTATGCGTAGGTATTAGGACATGAGAACCTTCACAAGCAAAATAGAGAAGGAAGAAGAAAGATACCTAGAATAACGAGATATGCCGCATCTCCTCTCATCCCCTCCATTCCTCAGCGGGGATGTACCATACAGGCCTACATTGTTAGCGCGAAGTCCCTAACGCGGTTAAAAAGGTACTTCAACATTGAAAGACTTCACAAACTCTTATTTCAATCAATCCAGCTTCTTGAGAATTGAGGATGATCATGGTGAAAGCAAGAATAAAGGTGTCGATGAATAGGAATGCAAGAACGAAGAGAAGCAAGAAGGCGGCAGCTGAAACCAATCAGAATATGTTCTGGCTTGACGATATAGATTACTAATTTTTGGCTTGACGATGTAGATTTGAAGTCTTTAGGTATTGTTTACATTTTTAACCTCGTTACGGACTTCGCGCTAATAATACAGATAGGACGTCGGTTGCAAAAGAGTAGCAAGCAGAGGGAATCGAACTCGCACAAAAGTCATCCGATGAGTTTGCACACTTACCATTGTGCTTGCGTCCAACTTGCCTCTCAGGTAGAGCGACGAGTATTTGTTACGCGCGGCGGCACCACGGCGGAATTGAGGACGATAACTTCGTGTGGGAGACCGATAAGCAGGCATCGAATCGGGTCGTAACCAGTTCTCCAAATGATGTTCAACGGTATACGGTTTGCTGGGATTGGCCACTTCGAATTTTGACCATTCTTTTGTTAGTCAGAGAATGAACGATACATGTTACCTCATGTGCCTAAGCAGCCTAGATTGCACACCTCTTCAGTTTCAGAAATCTGATGTATAAAGAATCGTAAGGTGCATTCAAAAATCATCAGACAGCGGGAAAACAAGCGGGTCCCGAAGCGTGCGCGCCTGCAACTAGCTACTTTTATATTACTAGCTTACTAGTCATGCAAAGAACAATCGAGATTTAATCGGGTTTAATTGTGATTGAATCAAGAACAGAAGAAGATTGGTGTTGCGAGAACAGTAAATGTAGGCTAACACAGATGGTAAGGTCACATAAGGGACGCATTCCATACTACATACTCAGCATGTATTACATAAGTTTTCAAGGACTAATAGTATGGAAAGTTTGACACCATTGACGACCATTCCTCTCTCGTGCTAGGAAGAAGCGCTTATGTGAGATGGAATTGTCTAATGCTTAGCATTTGCAAAAAATAACTTTTTACAAAGAAGGCGCCGTTCGAGCGATTCGCCCATCGCCGGTACAGAACTAGTGATGGCGATTTTGCCGAATTTCAGCGATGTCGCTGCCATATCCATAACGAAGGTATGCCCGTTCCAAATTGTCCCGCGATACAGGGTCCGGCACGCGTTGGTTTGGAGGTTTTTAGGAAACGAAGTCCCCCATGACTTCGCGAAAATTTACGAAGTCCCTTTCGATGTGAAAATCAGTAGGGAAACCGTTATTCAACCAAGATAGCAACAAAAAAGCGAAAAAAGCGCATTTTGAGGTATGTAATATAACAAAAAAGCAAAAAGAAAACATTTCGCGTCGATTAAAGGCTCTGCCATTGGGTATAGTACCATTTTGATGCTGGGAATGTCGAAAATCTCCTAGGCCAACCACATCTGTAGCCTCAACAACCCTGCGATGCATTTCTCGCCACATATTTCAAAGGACACCGCAAGTGATTGGAGAGCGATATCTATCAACGCGTAGAATTATACTACTTTTGACTCAAAAAAGGGGAGAGGCAACGGTTTGATCCGCTTTCTTCACTATATGATAGATTTTTGACCATTATAATCGTCCAAATCAAAAAGGTTCAAAACTTATGTGAACTCTCCGATATTTATGCTCCGAACCAACCCAGTTGGTTTGGTAATTGGTCTAGAAACCAACAAATCCGAGAACGGATATTAGGACACATAAGTTTTGAGAACTTTTTACATAACATAGTTTGGAGTAATATTGTATACACATAGCCCATATTCGGAGCCATTTGATTGTTTGTGCGCTGTAAACAAGCCATTTGTTTGTTTGAGTCTTGCATTCAAAATTCGCGCGCTTGCGAAAGAACACGTTCAACTCGTGAACCCTGACACGTTCGTCGTGTTTTTTGGCGCTTCCTCCAGGACCTCATAAAAACGATGTCCCCGTTGCTTCTAACTCCAAAAACGAAGTCCAGTTTGACCCCAAACCATCGGTGCCGGGCCCTGCCGCGATATGTCGCATTGTCGATCTGGCACAAAGGCAGGGCGACTACACAGTGAGGCGCGCTGCGCGGCGGACTTGTAACACATGTCCGATGAAGAGATCGCGCAGCGACGTTGGTCGCGTGAGGTACGCCTTAGGCTCTAGAGGGAGCAGCTTACGATCAGTGAGAAGCCAATCGCAGTAACATCTTATTTCTGCGCGTATATCGCTCATGCATGGTTGCGAGGCTGAAATCTTGTTACTACAGTCGTCATTTCGGACTTTCAACAGCCACGTCATTTTTCATGGCCGTGAACTCTCCAAGGAAATTTTTCGAGTAGTTTGGGGTGGGTGTCAGCACCCAGCTCGTACTACTCAGAAAATTGCCGAGGGCTAACTCGTTTATAACGATATTCGTCCATTGCGAACGATGTTTGGACGATTGATAAGTCGAAGGCGTCCGTTGTACGCTGGGTTACTGATGCGTGAATTCCGGAACAGCTCCATCACAACGCACGGTTTGACTATGCTGGAACTCTTTCGGAACTTAGGATCAGTATGAACCCAGCTTACGCTTTTATCTGCCTCGTACCTTTCGCCCTAAGTTCTTTCGCAACGCGCAGTGTTAGTAGTTGGTACGTATTTCAACCATTGCCAGATCAGCTCATAAATCTACATATCAGATATTCTTATCTCTGGCACCTGCCATATTAATCTTCTTGATCCACTCCACTTGATCCACTTGATCCGCTTGATCCTCTTGTTCCGCTTTGTGCGAAACGCGCGCACGCAGCAGTTTGTCATTTGGCGCCGATGGGTCAAAAAGAGTTTTGTATGGTTGCGGCACATACGCTGTACGCGACGCCAAATTACAAATTCTCAAACGGGTCAAGAGGATCAAGTATGGCTGGTGCCTAAGTATCATGCATGAAGAAGAAGTTATTGAGTCCCCGATTTTACCAGAGCTTTATTTCAGGTTGATGCTTCTATCGCCGATGTATCTAAATTTTGTGGAATCGTGAAGTTAGCTGCTTTTGATCCTTTCAAGAATACAGAGGCAGCTCTTGAAAATGCTAATGCTATCTCTGAAGGTATTATATATCTGCCTTATCACTTTGGTTGCTGTTATGCTCACTGTCTGCTTATGTCTTATTGCTATTGTTAGTGGCCATTATGCAGGTTTGGCTCATGCGGATCTACTCAACTTTCTCGAAAGTAGTCTCCCTCATAAGAAGAAAAAGCTGATCTTGGGTGTCAATGATTCAAAGCTGGCGGGTTCGTTAACTGAGGCGAACCTCGGCGTGCAGCTTGTATTTGGAGGTGTTGTTACCGAGGTCTGTGAGCATCTAGATGCTCTCGTACCAATGACGAGAACGACCTCTTCGAGCGAAGACATTTTTTAGATCTTACGTGGAGTGCGGGTACACTTTGCTCATCTTGCTAAGGATCTCCCACATCATTCACTAGCCAAGGCACAGCTGTCCCTTGGACATAGTTATTCGCGTGGAAAGGTACATTACTTTTTATTTTGTCTTTTTTTTGGTTTGCATCATTGAGCTTTTTGGGTATTTATGGAAATCTCCACAGCATTTCTGTCTAACTTATACATAATTCACGCACTTAGGCCTGTATGCACGTACATCCCCGCGGGGAGGAGAAGGGACCTGAGGGGGGAGGCGTCAGATCTCGCTTCTACATATCTTTATCCTTCTGTTTCAATTTTGCTTATGAATTTTCTCATTCGCTGATACCTGCGCATAACGGTTGCCAGGTTACTGCCATACAAGATTAGGTATCCACTATTTCGTCTGATCCCTTGGGGATTCCGAGGGGATCACCTCACATTTTCAAAGTCATTTATCTCCCTGAAAAATCAATGGAAACGCTGCAAAATTGTACTGAAATTATACTGCGATACTGCTGAGCATGTTTTCGACAACAGAAATGGAATATGAAGATTTTGATTTTTTCGATAATCCCTGGCTCGCGAGCAGCAGTTCATCGAAGATTTTGATATCTTGAGATTTCGCTCGTTTCTACCATAAACATGTTTAGCAGTGCTGTAGTATATTCTCAGTACAATTTTAGAGCATTTCCATTGAGTTTTCAGGAAGATAAATGACTTTGAAAATGTGAGGTGATCCCCTGGGGATCCCCAGGGGATTAGACAAATAGTGAATATCTGGTTTTGTATGACAGTAACCTGGCATGCGTTATGCGCAGGTATCAGTGTATGAGAACCTTCAAAAGCAAGACAGAGGAAAAAGAAAAAAGATATATAGACTAGCGAGATATGACGCTTCCCCCTCAGGTCCCTTCCCCTCCCCGCGGGGATCTACGTGCATACGGGCCTTAGCAATTCTGTGAAGTAGAATCAACTATGGTAGTAGAATCAACTATGTTAAGTACTGTTTTCACTTGGTTCATAATCCTGCCTTGAAGATCATTTGAATTTCATGTGCGTGAAGCAAAGTCTTTCAGTAGTTTGTGTCGTAATGAATGTTTCTTGGATTATTTTTGGGGTACTGTTTCATCTGGTTAACCTGAAAGCTAAAAAGGGAGGGGGAACACTCCGCTGCAACTTTACAGGAATTTATTTGCCACGTTGGTCATAAATACGGATTTCGCACAGATCCGCCGGTCTGAGTTACCATGTGAGTGATACTTCATGAATTCCTGTCGTGCAGGGAATTCTCCAGCGCTGATATCGTACCTGGCTTGTGCGTTGAATCTTTTTTGCCGATTGAGGAAATAATTGCAAAAAAAAAAACTTGCGAGCTATCGGTATTTGGTTCCCAACAGCCTGTCTAAGAGTCTCTATGGAGTTCTGAATTTATTCGCATAGTACCTCCAAAATGGCCGCTTGATGACCAACGTGCCAGATACAAAGATGAACTTGCAGCGAATTTTAACGGTTTAAAGTCTTTCAGATACTGTGAGGTCGTACCAGTCTAAGCAGATGTCATTCTTTTAGGTAAAGTTTGATGTTCATCGTGTTGATAATATGGTCATACAAGCTATCGCACTCTTGGATCAATTAGATAAGGATATCAACCTTTTCGGAATGCGCATCAGAGAATGGTAGGCGCATTAATTTCCGGCTTGTCGAACTCAATTTGTGACACTTTATCATGGCCCATATCAATAGTCCGCCTCACAACCCTAAATTGTGATAATGGAGATCATCGGTAGCTCTAAGAAACGCATTTATAGCTTCTAATTAGGGTCGGCTGTAACAGTGTAGAATTCTATAGTCGCACCATTTCAGGTACTCATATCACTTTCCGGAACTTTTCAAAATAGTGCCCGATCAGTACAAATACGCTCGATTAGCTGTGGCTATTTTGGATCGTAATAAGTTAGGGGAAAATGCTAATATAGCAAGTGAGATTCATGGTACGCGAGAAATACACGAATCCTACAGCACCACCTTGAACCGATTTCCATTTTTGTTCAGAAATTGTTGAAGATGAGGAGAAAACCAGGGAGATATTGGAAGCAGCTCGTACCTCTATGGGTATGGATATATCAGACATGGATTTGGCCAATATCGAAAGTTAAGCGTGCCGTTTTGGCTCTTTCGATTTGATAAGCTGAGGCTTTAGGTTTGCCTCTCGTGTTGCTTCTCTTACTGAGTACCGACAGCGCCTTCATGAATACATCAAAGACAGGATGAATAGCTGTGCTCCTTCACTGAGTGCTCTGATTGGGGAACAGGTGAGACTGTACATCTGTTATCTCTCACTTCATCCTCAAATTTGACATGTAAACATTATTTTTCTGTGAAGAACGGGTTTGTGTTTTAGGTTGGAGCACGTCTTATCTCACATGCTGGGTCCTTAACAAATTTGGCGAAATATCCGGCTTCAACTGTGCAGATTTTAGGTGCCGAAAAAGCGTTATTTAGGGCCTTGAAGACAAGATGTGAGTCTTTGGTTTTTCTTCTGATAATCACTCAGATCCAGGCACGATCGCGCATGTGCTGATTTATACTCATAACGATATATAATTTAGCTGCCACTCCCAAATATGGATTGCTTTTCCATTCATCATTTATCGGAAGAGCTTCGACAAAAAATAAAGGCAGAATCTCAAGATTTCTTGCTAATAAATGTACGATAGCCTCTAGGATAGACTGCTTTTCAGAAGTAAGGACATCTCCTTTGTCGAAACAATGGGCCTTGGCTCAAACCTCTTTCTCGTTCAGGTACCAGTGTCAACTTTTGGTGAGTTTTTGAGAGGTCAAGTTGAGGAGCGTCTCAAATATTTCGAAACTGGTGAAGTCCCACAAAAGAATATTGACGTGATGTCTAAAGCCCAGGATGAAGCTAAACTAGTTCAAGAAAAGGTAGGTTCTGAACAATACATCCTTCATACAATCATTTTTGTTTACAGGTGCTCAAGAAGAGGAAGAAGGCAGCCAAAAAAGCCAAGAAAATTAGAGAAAGTGAAGTTCAAGGTGAAGAAGCAGAAGTAAGTGATCCGACACAGGAAAAGAAACACAAGAAGCGTGTCTCTGAGGAACCCGTTGCTGCAGTAGAGGCAGAACTTTT